CTTGATGATCAATCTTTATTAATTGAAAATAGACTTTACCTCAACGGCCTACCTCTCTCAAAGGTGCAGGAAACGAAATTCCTGGGAGTAATTGTCGACGAAGGCCTAACTTTCAATCCCTATAGAGACAAACTAGTTAGAAAACTCTCGTCCTGTTCTGGGAGGCTATACACGATTAAGGATAAAATTCCATCATCTATCCATAAGGACCTGTACCACACACTTTTTGAAAGTCACCTATCTTATGGCATTACCGTTTGGGGAGGTGCAAGTAATAATAAACTTCAACCACTATTTGTAGCCCAGAAAAAGTGTGTTCGTATCATGTTTGGTGACAAAAAAGCATACCTTGATAAATTTATGACATGTGCTAGGACTAGACCTATCAGTGAACAGAAACTTACTAGCAAATTCTTTGAGAGAGAGCACACCAAGCCAATTTTTGCCCGTCAATCACTCATGACATTGCATAATTTATACGCGTATCACTGCTGCAATGAACTTTTTAAAGTCTTTAAATATCGAACACCAATTGCACTATTTGAACTTTTCTGTTTGTCTAAAAGACCCGGCAAAGAAACTCTTCTTATAACAACCATGCCCTCAAACAGTTTCGTTTACAAATCTAGTTGCCTTTGGAATTCATTCCGTCAGATGTTGGCACTGAACGACCTTGAAATCACTCATGGTGTATTCAAATCAAAGGTAAAAAAAGTCATTCTCTCGTCTCAGGGTAAAGGTGACAAGAATACCTGGGCCCCTTTGGCAAACTTTCTGAACTCAGGCAGCTTGAACGACTAAATTTGGAAAAATAAAACTTCTTGTCTGAATGAACTATTAGAACCTCAAGAAGCTGATCCGCATGTCTCCGCTACTAAAATGTTTAATGAGCCCAATCACTCATCACTTAACAGTTTAATCTTCAAAGTGAGTTGTACAATCTAGGTTGTTTTAAGTAGCTGTTGATAGTGTAAAACAGGAGTGACTTGATCGTTTTCATAACTTCGATTTACAATTTGTACCATAATAAAACTAGCACTGCCATGGGGTTCAAAAAGGGTCATTGTAAGCCTCCAGCGTAATGGTCCTAAGTCTCTGCCCCATGCAGTGCCTGTCAGCATCAGCTAACAGAATAGCCCTAACATAACGATCAAGCCACAAATTAGGTTCTATAATGATTTAATATTGTTGAATAAAGAGATTTGAATATAATATTTGTTTTATTCTGAATATTTGTTTTATTCTGAATGCGTTCAATCGTCTTAATAGAGAAGCAGCCCTTCACAATGTTCATGAGATCTGTCCTCCGCTCTATCAGTATCTAAAGAACCACTACCAAAAGCCAGCAGACCTGATCATTAATACTACCGAGGACCACTACCAACTTAAGTCTGAGGAAGGTTCAACTCAGGGAGATGTAGCAGCAATGGCATTCTATGCGTTAGGGATCAAGCCTCTAGTAGATGACCTAGCCACAGCCTCCAAGCCCAGTGTTTGCAAACAGTCTTGGTATGCAGACGACAGTAGTGCTGGTGGAAAGATTGAAGGTATTAAGATATGGTGGGATACGCTGTTGGAGCAAGGACCAAAGTATGGATATTACCCAAAAGCCAGTAAGACCGTCCTGATTGTGAAGAATAGCGAGGACCTAGATCTTGCGCAGAAAGTATTCTCAGGCACTGGTATTAAAATTGAGTCTGAAGGAGAACGCCATTTGGGTGCAGCAATTGGCAGCGAAGCTTTTAAGAACAAATATGTCTCAGATAAAGTCCATAAATGGTGTCAGGACATCAAGCTGTTGTCATCAATTGCTGTTGAGGAGCCCCAAGCTGCTTTGACTGCATATACTAAGGGAATTTGTCACCGGTGGACGTTCATTCAGAGGACCATCCCGGGTATAAGTCACTTGTTTCGACCATTGGAGGATTGCATCAGAACAGATTTTATTCCAGCAATCTTGGGTAAGAACGTATCAGACTTGGACCGCTCCATATTTGCATTGCCAGTCAGACATGGTGGCCTAGGTATCTCCAACCCAGTTGAAAACTGTTTGTAGGTAATAAGCAATGAAACCCAGTAATCGTATAACCAAGCTGAAATGATCTATATCAATGTATAGTAAATAATACCTTTAGTCAATCTGAATAACTCACAATACTTCTATAAAGAGTAAAAGGGATAAACCCATAAACACTTGACGGAGAGAAAGTAACTCACCAAGAAAGCTCCGTCAAGGATCGTAAGCTCTAGTAGGTCTCTAGAGTCTGTCATATAAAACAACCATGCTTAAGGAAAACATGGGGTTACATAAAGATATATCCTAATATAGGAAATCTAGAGAAAAGGATATATGACAATATCCCGCCTAACAATATCCCGCCTAACAAAGTTAGAAAACTAGAAACGATTAAATCACCCAGAGGAAAGACAAAGCATTCTTGCTTGATTAAAATATTAAAATGAGATACTCAATATCTCTCACTATAAACTCTAACAAATATAAAAGCATTATTAAAAGTACACTCTCATAATATTATCAAATAAGTAGAATAAAAACCCCGCAAATTATAAGTTCATCAAATATAATAAATAAATCTCAAGTAGTCACCAATGCCGATTAAAACACAGCATCTCTTACAATAAATGTCTTTTACAATACAATACAAATTGTCCATGGCCAATTCAGTTTTGAAGATAGCAGAGTAGAAGAGTAGAGAGAATCATCCACCAGAAGCATACACAAAGAAAACTTACAGCAGGAGAGAAGAGCGAGACACTTCAGCCATCATACACACCAGATGACTCACTTCAGATCATCGGGCACCTTAAACAAGCCCAACTGTCCAATAAGAAGGTTAACTCAAGTTTTTTTCTGGGAAAGACAACACCCTCTCTACCATGCTTAAGGAAAACATGGGGTTACATAAAGATATATCCTAATATAGGAAATCTAGAGAAAAGGATATATGACAAAAACTGCAATAGAGAATTCACAGCCTCAGTCACCATCACAAAAGACCTCACAGACCTGATTATCAACCAGCAAAACACCCTTGAACATTACAACATGTCAATTCAAAATGACATTATAAAAAGTCTCAAGGCAATCAAGGAGAAACACTTATTTACGGTTAGCAAATCAATAGAGGACAGTGTAAGAGATCCCAACCTAAAGAGATCTCTCCAGTTCATCAAAGAGAAAGGTTCAGGATGTTGGCTTACTGCACTTCCATTGAAGAGATTTGGCTACTCCCTGAACAAGATTGAGTTCCGTGATGCTCTGTACTTGCGTTATGGTTGGGAGATCCCTAACACCCCATTTCACTGTGCTTGTGGAGAGAGAAATAATGTGAATCACACACTTATATGCAAGAAAGGTGGCTATGTTTCTATGAGACACAACAACATCCGCGATCTAAATGCAGAGCTGCAGCGTGAAGTATGCAGAGATGTAGTGACTGAGCCAGCATTGATACCCCTTGATAATGAAGAAATTGTTGGTACCAATGCTGATAGAGCTGCACCTGATGTATCCTCACGAGGTCTCTGGAGCACATTTGAACGAACATTCTTTGATGTCTGTGTTACCCACCCCAACTCACCCACATATGACAAAAAAGATATGGAACAGATCTATAAAGCTCATGAAATGAGGAAAATGAAAAAGTACAACAACAGAATCATCCAGGTGGAAAAAGGCACCTTTACCCCACTTATATACTCAACAAATGGCGGATGGGGTCCACAAGCCACAAGATACCACAAGAGACTCGCTGAAAAACTATCCCAGAAGAGAGGAGAAGACTATGCGGCTATTATGTGTTACATGCGCACCAGGATTAGATTCTCAATCCTCAGGAGCACCCTGATAGCGGTCAGGGGTGAGAGAGGGAGACGGCAATCGTATACATTGCCAGTCAGTGTAACTTCGTTTAACTTGATACCTGCCACCATGGACTATGAATGTTTCTAGACACTATCCTTTTGATATTGAGATATTGGTATCTCAGATCACGTGTACATCGTTCCTTTTTTTTTATGACACAGTAATTTATTGACACTCACAGCTATAATTTTAATCATTGAATCAGTATTTTTATCTATTAACTTATTACATATTTGTGCTCTGCTTTAGCATCACTTGACTATTAAACTTATTAAAGTTCAGGCCATGACCTTATAGTCAGCCAATTGGCCATTGCTATATTATGTGTATATTGTTTGAATATTCTTTTCCTTGGAAAAGTATTCAAACAATATACACATAATATAGCAATGGCCAATTGGCTGACTATAAGGTTATGGCCTGAACTTTAATAGTCAAGTGATGCTAAAGCAGAGCACAAATATGTAATAAGTTAATAGATAAAAGTACGGAGCTGGTTTGTTCAGTATGAGCAGATCTGGTCTTAATGTGGTATCAAACAGTAGATGCAGTAAAAGTAGCAGTAAAATGAAGAAAGTCCACAGTTCTTTTCTTCCGGAGAGGGTGAGACCATATTGGAACAAACTCCCCTCGGATGTCAAGAATTGCGGGACTGTGTTAAGTTTTAAAATAAGATTAGAGGCTTTCAAAAAAGAGACTATATTAAACGGATCTGTAAATGATAGTTATTTTTGGTATGTTTCGGACGAAGTATTAGGAAAGATCGAGGGATTAAATTATGCTACTAATAAAGAGAAGCACAATGGATATCTTGTGTGTAATCCTCATGTTGCTAAAAACCGCTTTATCAACTTATATAGTAGTTTTGATTGTTAAGGGAATTTTTTGAATTCTTTAAGGGTTGATTTTATATAGGGTCATTGTTTGTTGTTTGGGGACCGGTTTTTGGTACCCGGCCAATGTTTACAAAAAAATATAATACATAACAATATAATTTTATTTAATATGCGTGAATATGAAAATTGAAAATGTTGATTACGTCTATTCATTAAAAACAAAAACAGAAACTTTAAAAATTAAAACTTGTATATCATGATTTATTAACATATAGTGACAAATAATTTGATTTGATACGACAGATGATCACACGCACTGTTTTATAAGCTACTTGGGGTTAATCCTGAGAGAATCCTGAGAGTGAGGTGGTTCCATCGAGTAAGAAATGAAGATGTTTTAAGAAGGGCTTCAATAACTGCTCTTACTGACATAATAGCAACAAAACGGCTACGTTGGTTTGGACATGTCAGTAGAATGCCTGAAGATCGGTTACCTAACTATCTACTTGAATGGAAACCCAAGCATGGGAAACGATCAAGAGGCAGGCCTAGGAAGAGCTTAAATGATGTATTTATTGAAGATGCTGAGCAGAGATTGGATCGTAATGGACTCACGATTGATTGTATGAGAAGATTGGCTGCAGATCGAAAAGGATGGAGAAATATTACCCGCCGAAGTTGTATAATACAAAGTAATGACGCAGATGACGCAGACTAATCCTTTTGGATGGAGATCTCGCCATGTAACATGTATGTATGGGGTTAAAACAAAAAAGAATGACTGAGCCCATGTCTTATCAGCACCTGCTAGCGCTATCTATATGATGCTATTAATATGACAGTGAATGGGCAGTGAAAAAAGTGGCATATGGTTGATAGTGACTAGTGTGCTAACCGTCTGGTTTTATTTATTCCTTAGTTTATTCTCGGTAGTTGATTTGTTGTGTGCCTGATCTTGTCGATTTACGTAGCCCGGGTAAATTATGTAACAGAAAAGGTGGCCATTCTTCATCGTTTCCTGAGCTTTGTAGTTCTATCATTACACGCTTCGCTGATTTCTTATATATGCTTATTGAGAAAATGCTAGATGGGCAAGTTATGCGACTAATGTTGTGCTCGGTAATAGCTAATATAGGACCTTTATACAGAACACTAGCGCGTAGATCTGGTTGAGAGTACGTTGTTAGCCAGTCGATATTGTCGTCATAAGACGTGCCATACTTTGGTATATCGGGAGGAAATAAGTCTTTTATCGACGACGGCAGAAGGCCAGGCATGTAAGTTATCTTGTGCATCAGAGTCAGAGCATTTTTTATGATGACCCCGTGTACAGATAATATTTCGTACTCTTTATACGTAGTTTTAGTATGATCCGGAAGCTTACCGTCCTTGTAATAGTAATTCACGTAGCCCGGCATAACTGCTCGTATTCCCTGCTTTTGTTTAGTGAACAGTGATTCAATATGGGATTTTGCAGCAAAGCCCCAAACTAGTGAACAGAAATTTAAGTGAGATTGTACAAAACTTTGGAAGATCTGTAAGCGTGCTTTGATTGGTAATTTGCGTTTTATTTTGAACATAATACCTATAAACCGTGACATTTTTGTTTTGACGGCTCGTAGTAGTGGAAAGTATGTAAATTAGATTCATTTTAACATATTAACTTGGTTGTTTAGGCCAACAGATTTAAGATAATTTTTAAACTTTAGTAGATATATTTTTGATGATGTGTGATGATGTTTGTGTCATTATATTTTGATTTGATTTGATTTGATTTACTTCCAAGTACAGTTGAAGACGTAATAGAGAGAAAATATACAGTCGCTCAACCACACATAACTTCTCAGTACTGCTTTTAATTATCATTAGTATTAGTATTAGGTACCACTCTTATGTATTGATGTGGTTCAAGCAAGGCTGGTAGTTACTTCAAGGTGTTGTTTTTTTTGCATAATGTGAGCATTGGGTTTTTTATACAGATTGTTACTCTGATTTTTCATGACCTTATAAATTTATTGATTTCTTTATCGACTCTTATTTTTGAGGGTGTTTGTTTTAACTTAAATATTTGGACAGAAACTATTTTTGAATCTATGTGTATATATTGTTGGAATCAGCACTCATTGTGGGTTTGTATAAAGAACATGTGCTCACAATTACAATCTCATGCTAGTTGACATTATTCTTGGTGCCACACCCACATTGCTTAAAGATATTCTGGGCAGAACCTTGATATTTGTTTTGGGACATAGATGATAGTATAGAGATTTAAACTAATTTTTGGTAGCAATCGCCAATGGATCGTTATCAGTGTACTGTGCTCTGCCAATTGCATCACATGATTTGATTGAATGTACAAGGGGTCTTATACTATCGCTGTGTTTTAAAGTTGGGAGTTGTTGCCTTGCAGATGGCATACTGTATCATACTATCGGAGGATTCCATCGCCAAAATTTGAAAATTCGACTATTTTAGACCACGCTGTCGCCCATTCAATATTAAAACATCTATATTGATCTCTTTGAACATGCTGAACGCCTAATTTTTATAGAGACAGTAGATTATTAAATGTTGCATCAGATCTGGAAAAATGAGACAAAACTGATGAGAAATGACGAAATTATCAAGCATTTTGTGTATCTCGTTAACAAATTTGATTGGGTAATTATGAGACACCATGACACAACACCTTAATTGGGCAGCCTTAACAATTCCCATAATGTTTAACGGGTTGGTTAACGGGGTCACCTTATCACGTGATAAAGTAAGCCAATCACATGTAATGAATAAACTGGTCATGCCTCATATCTCGGTCATCTGAGAAGCTACAATCAACTCTCGTTTTTTTCAGGACAAATGTAATTGGAATGGTCAAACACAATTCAATAAAATTTGGCTTGATACTGTTAGTTCAATGAATCAATGACACACGTTGATAGTTGAAAGGAGATAAGTCAATAGATATACAAAGACCCCACGGCTAACAGAGACATCATATATATATAACATACTCCTGAAATATAAGGAGTTAACTCACATTCTAATATAGATACAAACATATAAAATATAATAGGAGAATATAAAGTTCACAGATACGACTCTCCAAACTATCAAATAAATGCGATAAGATAAGATAAGATTTATTATTATATATTCCTTATCATTTTACATACATTGTATGACTGTACAATTTACATCAAATAATTTCCAAACTATTTTCAAATAACGAGAACTATCCTTTTTAGCTCCTCAAGATGGCAAAGAGGACCAAGAAGGTTGGAATCACTGGAAAGTACGGTACAAGATATGGTGCTTCTCTTCGTAAAATGATAAAGAAGATTGAGATCTCCCAGCACTCTAAGTACACTTGTATGTTCTGCGGTAAAGACGCAATGAAGAGAACGTGTGTCGGAATCTGGTCCTGTAAAGCATGCAGAAAAACTGTTGCTGGAGGTGCCTATGCTGTCAGTACTACAGCTGCTGCTACAGTAAGATCAGCCATCAGAAGATTGAGGGAAATGCAGGATGTGTAATTTATTATAATACACTAAATTTTTAGTACATCTTTATTCAAGTGTGTTTTATTCTATAACCGTATTGCCTCTTCACAGTGGACCAGAATAGGGGGGCAAGCTATATTAGACATGTTAGTACCATCCAAATATGTCTGAAAGGTGTTCTATAGACTGCTTTGGCCCAAAAAAACGATCTAAACCAATTTCAAGACCCTACTTAACACAAAAACTGAGAAAATTGGGGAATTTTGAATTATGCTCCTTGAATTTTTAGCCCAAAAATTCAAAATTTCTTACATAAGCCACAAAACCAGTTTTGAGATGCTTTACTTGTAGCTGAACGTTTCCAGGACTTGTATTTAAAATTTCATCAAGGTTGAACAAAAGATGGCCGAGTTATAACAAAAATATGTATGCCCATATTTGGGCACAAGCCCCAAATAACATAGTTTTAGCCAATAAATTGGTAAAAAATCGGCATTTTAAAAAAATGCCCACAAATGACCAAGACAATTTTTTTGTATGTTGTAGGGAATCCTCTAAGCTTTCAAATGGTACCAAGGAATAGGGCGGCAGCCAGCAAAGGCCGGTAATTTAACTATTTTTGGGCTGGAAGGCCAAAGATTTGCCTAAAAATGGGGCAAAAATTCAGGCTCATGTCAAAAATCAGCTAAATTAGATAGCCTATTAAGGTTTTTTCCAATAAATTAAGGTTTGAGAGTTGTTTGGAGACATAAAAGGAGTCAATTTACTTTATATAATCTTATTTAAGAAACAGAGTAAGAGCTATTTTTCACTGCCAAAAAGAAACAAAATCATTTTTGAAAAATCGCAAATTTCGCGGCCGCGTAGCAGTTAAACCATATGGAATTTTTAATTTCGGTTTTTTGCATTCTATAGGGAAACAATTTTCCTATCAGATTATTTAAAATACATCCTAAACTGACAAACTCATTTTTGGACCTAATATAGCCTGGTGGCCCACTGTGCTCTTGTACGAATAATCCGAAAGTTCTCCCCACAAATGCCCATATTCTTAAATTTAATTTGGAAACAGAATTAGTTCAATCATCAGAACTAAGGTAGAGCTTTTATTTGTGCTAGTGTGAAAATTCTTATTAAAGCACTAGAACAGTAGCACATATCTGATTGACTGCTTTAATGTAAGATTGGGAAGATTTGCCTACAATTGTTTCACACTAGTCAAGGATTTTCTTCAAGTTAGATGTGGCAAATATAGATTATAGAGGACATACATGTATTTAAAATTCTTTAAAATCAACCTCGTTTATGTAACCATGTTTCTTTGTAGCTCCTCAAGATGGCAAAGAGGACCAAGAAGGTTGGAATCACCGGAAAGTACGGTACAAGATATGGTGCTTCTCTTCGTAAAATGATAAAGAAGATTGAGATCTCCCAGCACTCTAAGTACACTTGTATGTTCTGCGGTAAAGACGCAATGAAGAGAACGTGTGTCGGAATCTGGTCCTGTAAAGCATGCAGAAAAACTGTTGCTGGAGGTGCCTATGCTGTCAGTACTACAGCTGCTGCTACAGTAAGATCAGCCATCAGAAGATTGAGGGAAATGCAGGATGTGTAATTTATTATAATACACTAAATTTTTAGTATATCGTAAATCAAACTTGTTTTATTTCGTATTTATCTTGAGTCTTCTAGCCGAAATGATCCAGAGATTCTGTAGATGCTCATATTCTTAAACTAATGTGGCGACATCTTGTACTCGTTCAAATACAACTTTAAGTTTAACAGTACTGCTGTCTGCTATGTTTTCTATATTTTTCACCTAACATAAACTTCTTAAAGCTATCGTACACATCATGTCACGGAGGGTCTTGTTCTTGTTCGATGTTGACGGTACTCTCACAGCTCCCAGAGCTGTCATCACGAACAAGATGCTGGATTTCATGACAGATCTGAGTAAGAGAACTACTGTTGGTATTGTCGGGGGATCCGATGAGGCTAAAATAGTTGAGCAACTTGATGGACACATTGAGCTTGCAACTTATCTCTTTTCGGAAAATGGGCTTGTGGCAAAAAAGGGCGAAAAATTGATTGGAAAAACAAGTATAATAGATAAGATAGGCAATGATAAACTCCAAGATTTTATAAACTTTTGCCTGTCCTACATGTCAAAATTGAAACTTCCTTGCAAACGTGGTACCTTCATCGAGTTCAGGAATGGTATGATAAATATTTGCCCTGTTGGCAGAGCCTGCTCAGTGGAAGAACGCAAAGAATTCTTCGAATACGACCATGTCCACAAGCTGAGAGAACAATTTGTTACAGCTTTAAAAAACCAGTTTCCTGATCTAGAAATGAAGTACAGTATTGGAGGTCAAATCAGTTTCGATTGTTTTCCTATAGGCTGGGACAAAACTTACTGCCTTCAGTACATCGAAAAAGAATTTGATGACATATATTTTTATGGTGACAAAACTTATGAAAGTGGCAATGACTATGAGATATTCATTGATTCTAGAGTGCAAGGAAGGACAGTTACAGGACCTGATAATACCTTAGAACAAGTCACAGCTGATCTTACAAGACTTGGTCTTTAGTTCGTTTAATTTTGGAATTATTTGTCACGTTTAAGATTTTGATGTTTGGATAAAATTGTCTTTTAATATCACTTTTCGAGTGGTTATGTTTATATTAAAATTGTGTTCTTTTATGGGAATCAGATGTAAGAAGTATTTAATTTTAAATTGTACATTTTGCTTATGTATTTCGGTTCATACCAACTGTGTCCAGTATGTATACATTTGTTGCTGAGATTTCCGCGTGGTATAATTGAAATTTAAGGTCTAGTCTTTATCTTATGGAGTTATGGCCAAGGCAAATCTAGATATTGATATATATCAAATCTAGGCATGGAAAGTGGGTAATTCCGGTGTATTTAAGCTTAGTTCTAACCTCCTGAGAACGTTTCAAACTTGATCCATATTATCATTTTCAAAGTTAACTGTCATTATTTCAATATGTTGCTTTTTATAGCTAAAAGAACTAGATCGTACCGACATAGAATGACAGAAAGTGAGTACTGAATAATCTTGCCACATTAACCAACCTCCGATACAGCTCTTATTTTGAACTTTATTTTTTAATCAAGGGCTCTCAAACTAGTTGTTATTCTAACTTTTTAAAAGTTTAACAGAGTACACGAATATCATCGAAAGATTTACTATCCGTTTAACGTACCTCAATCTTACAATACCGTTTCTGTCGAAGCTGAAACCAGAATAGTCCCAATAGTCGGATTATGACAATTGATAATCTAACAAGGGTTTTTGATTATTCAGTTCCCCGGAACTTCAAGCTGCTGCAGGAGCTGGAAGATGGTGAGAAGGGTGTAGGTGACGGGTCTCTCTCCTGGGGACTTGAGAAGGATGACGACATGTCACTTACACACTGGAACGCCACCATCATTGGACCTCCTAGGGTGATTTTAGAAATAATCTAACTTTACCAGAATTCACTCAATCAACATGAAATAATTTTTATTGTATGGTTTAAATATTGCCACCTCTATTGTTCGAGGAGCAGAATAGTTACACTCGTATTGATGTCGAATGTCAAGCTTTCTACATTTACCATGTACTCTACACTCTCATATTGTCGTACTAGATATATAACGGATAGCGGATAGTATGTATTATATAGTATATAAGTATAGACTGCATAGTAGATAGTATGTATTATATAGTATATAGTAAGACTGCATCGTAGACTAGTATGTATTATATAGTATATAGTATAGACTGCATAGAATAGCTAGTATGTAGGTTATATAGTAGATTAGTATAGACTGCATAGTAGATAGTATTTATTATATAGTTATATAGTATATAGTATAGACTGCATAGTAGATAGTATGTATTATATAGTATATAGTATAGACTGCATAGTAGATAGTATGTATTATATAGTATATAGTATAGACTGCATAGTAGATAGTATGTATTATATAGTAGATAGTATAGACTGCATAGTAGATAGTATGTATTATATAGTATATAGTATAGACTGCATAGTAGATAGTATGTATTATATAGTATATAGTATAGACTGCATAGTAGATAGTATGTATTATATAGTATATAGTATAGACTGCATAGTAGATAGTATACTAGTGTTACTGCATCTTTTGTGAGTGTATAATATGACGTAATTATCTTGTGGTAGCGCCGCCACATTCTCATAGTCAAATCTGTGTTACTGTCATGTTGTAACGTTGCCACGTCATGTTTAATTCGATTCGGCGCTACAAGTTCCACATTCATCATGCACATGTTCTATAACGTCCAACCATTTTTCAGTGTCCGTTTGAGAACAGAATATACCAGCTGCACATTGAGGCTGGACCAGACTACCCCAGTACCGCTCCAAAGATCAGATTCAGGACCCGGATAATTGTAAACTTCGTGACCTCTTCCGGCCAGGTCAGCTAATTTGTGGTTTTAATGGGTTTACTTTAATCCTGTCGGGTCCCTTTTTCTGTCGAATTGTTTCTAAAAATTTAAATTTGATCTTCATGTGCTGCTTCCTCTGCAAAAATCATAACCATTAGCATTGAGTTCAATCGCGACTCCAACCAAAATACTTAGTATAGTATTAACTTACGTACCAACGTATTCTGGACTTGTGAAGTCCCAGTTAATTTGAAGAAAGGGGACAATTTATTGAATACTATTCTCTTATAGGTGTTCAAAGAACCAATGCTCTAAAGAACTTTGAGCCATCTGCCCTCCTCTCTGTAAAAGTTATTTAGAGGGGAAACTTAACTACTTGTTACCGGTTCCGAGATATGATGTTAATCAAAGGCTCAGCTCTTGTTTCGCAGTCGACAGTTTTTAAAGCTTTGTCTATGTCTTTTCAATGACTTCTTTTAATAGAATCACAATAGTTTGACGTCTAAGGAAAGGTGTTATCTTTACTTGACGAGCGTTAGATATTTGTAAACCGCTGCTACTTTTGTAGTCATTCTAGCCGATAAAGGGGAATTTTTTAGCAAATACTTGAAACAACACGTAGGTGGGAGAATGGGAGATTCGACAACACCTTTCTCTTGTCTAGAACAACCGTCGGGGGATTTTATTTATCAAACAATAGAAATTACCGATATAACCTCTACCATCTGTTTCACACCTTGTCAAAAGATGGACACTTTTGCCAGGATAACGCCCCTATTTGTGGGTATAAAAGAGTCTGATCAAAGCTTGGACCACATTCGACAAAGCCACAACTCCAAGAACAAAACTACAGAAGAACAAAGATGATCCTGTTTGCAGTAGCTCTGATAGCTGTCACCGCAGCTCAGAACCAAGTTAACCCGGATATAGTCTACAAGTACACTGATGCCTACCAACTCATCTGGAGAGATTCAGGCTCTGAAGCTGACATGGACGGAGCTGCGTGGAGAGCTCAGAACTACCAGTCCGAATTCTGCTCTCTTGGGGATGTCGTTACTGGACACCATGGCTCACCCAATTCTAAAGCAGTCTTAGTCTCAAAGAGGAAATCAGATGCTCTAGTCAACCCTTCCAGTTTCTCTCTGGTGTGGAACGATGCTGGAAGTGGTGCCCATTCTGATGTTGCTTTCTACAAGATGAACGCTCCGTCTGGATACACCTGTCTTGGAGGAGTTGCAGTGAACAGCCACTCTACCAAGCCTGACTCCAGTAAGTACTGCTGTGTAAAGAACGAATATGTTGTACGGGCAGACACAGTACACACATGGAACGACCGGGGCTCAGGTGCTAATTCTGATCTTAGTTTGTGGACTATCATCAGGGCTGGCGGAGACGCTTATGGACTTGATGCCGGAACGTTTGTCGGTGTCTCAGGATACTCCAAGCCATCGTCCTCTGCTGCTAACCTCCTCAAAGCTGACGGAAGCAAAGTTAGGGATGTGTGGAGTCTACCTACTGGTGAGGACAAACCACTGAACTTGTACGAAATGGGACAGCTGAAGATGATCTGGAACGACGCTGGATCTGGAGCTGATGCTGACTGTTCGATCTGGAGGACTGAATCTAAAGACGGATACTATCCTCTTGGAGATATTGTTGTTGCCTCACACAGCAAGCCCAAAATAGGGTTCCTGTTGAGACCCACAGACGCTAACGACAACTCAGTCGTGGCCCCGGTCTCATACTCCAGGATCTGGAACGACGGTGGTTCAGGAGCTGACAAAGATGTACAACTGTGGAAAGTAATCTGCCCCGGTGGATACGTGGCTCTGGGAAATGTTGCAACTTCCGGCAGTGAACCTGCCCTTGGAGACGTGTACTGTGTGAAAAGCAGTTACACTACTTATGGATCATCCAGCAACTGGGGGTACGTCTGGAGGGACCATGGAAGTGGGGCAAATTCTGATGTATCCATCTTTGAAGCTCGAGCTTCTTCTAGCAGCCTGCAGTCAGTGAGAGGGTTTGGAGCCAAAGCTAGCTACAGCTCCTTATCCACCTCTCCTTACTTCCTGAAGAAGGAGTCCCTTACTTACTGGGCTGAGAAGCCTGTTGAGAAGATGATCATGTCCAACGTGCAATATGATCTTGATGCGGAGAAACAGCAGACAGCCCCAGATAAGGTGAGTTCTACCATCGTGGAGAACGACTCAGACAACGAACAGATTGTTGCCAGGACCTTATCCTACTCCATCGCTGAGTCGAGCTCCTTTACATTCAGCCAAGCTATCCAACTGGGGATCGCAATGGAAATTACAGCTGGATCACCTCTAATTGGGATAGCACAGAAAACAACGATCAGTGCCTCTACCACCTCCACATTCACCAGTGGAGACACAACCACCAAGACACACACGGATACCATCCAAGCCAATGTGATTGTCCCGCCAAAGTCCAGGCTAACTGCTGTTATCACTGGTACTCAGTACAAAGCCGACATTCCTTACACAGCCAGTGTTAAGAAGATTTACTTTGACGGAACTGTCGGTTACGCTACGATCTCAGGAGTCTACAAGGGAGTGACTGTAGCCGCGATCAAGGTTACTTATGGCGAGATTGAGTACTTTGAGTAATTTTTGTCTTTCGTTGATACAAATTTTAAATTTTAATTAGAAACGCCTCTTCTTTCTAGAATAAAATGGACAGTCAAATTAATTATGGGAATGAAAGGAAGAGATGTAAAAAGTATATAAAAACACAATTTTCATAAATAACCATTAACCAACTAACCAAGTATCAAAAAAAATTATGGACATATGCACCAAATTTGGTACATTTAAAAATGTTACCCGATAATTGGACTTCATTTGGCCGAGCTTCGATAAGTTTGAATGTAAGACCAGTTTACTGGTCAACTGGTGTTATAGTGTCCCTAATTTTGTTTACACTCGGTCACTTGTCAAGGCATGTACTGGTCATTTGGCGAATTTTCTTAAAAATAAAATGATGTATTTGTGTAACATTTTGAAAGTTTATAGATCAAAAACAGCTTAACTACATGTTCTCGGAGATAAGGGGCTCAATAAAGCCCTCATCAAACGCTGTAGTTGGCACTATACCCCCGTTAGTCCTCAGTTATTGATTGGTGCTGTAACTTATATCGCTGCTGTACTTGTTGTACTCTTATTATATTTGTCCGGATAAAATAGAAGAACTCTGGTTCAGTCATCTTTATGCCAACAACACATGTAACAGATCTCGCTAGCTGAAAACGTAATTCTACGTTTATTATTAATTGAGTTTCAAGTTTAAATTTGTCCCAGCTTGGATACCAATTCAGTCACATAAAATATAAATAATTTAGAACGGTCTACCGCCACACTGGACGTAGCACGCGAACTATGTGTCTTGTTACAAAACGCACATTATGCATCGCTGTGGTTGATGCGCGTTAATGTACGCACGTTCGTACTTCAGACATAATCACGTATAAATGAGCTGTTGTCCTGAAGATAGCGTACTGTAGTCCTGTACACTTGTACCGATGAAGGAAGCCAAGTGGCTCCTCCTGAAATTGGAGAAGTACATGCGGCCCGAAAATCTAACCAAAATTCATCCCTCATTAATGTTTTTTCAAAATTAGAAGGGCAGCTTTCATTCCAAAACATTGACTAGAACCTTTCCTTTCCAAGATTTAACAATCTAATGCTTCGTCCATTCCTCACCTTCCCCATCCAGAAGTCAGCTCCTATTTTAATTTTGCAGGCCTTTTGTAGCTCTGCACATCTACCATAGCTTAGCTTATTGACCAAAAGTACTTCTAAAACAATAACTTTGTCTTATTTATTTTCTGCATCGGCCTACCCTCTTCCCTTGTTGTCCCCAATGCAGTACTTAGCACCTCTTTAGAGTGTAGATACACCACGAATTGTTCACATTAAACTCTGGTATTAGTGTGAAATGTAAGCTAAATTATGTGTGTAACTGAATATTCAACATATCCATAACTGTGCCAACACTTCAGGTGGACCTAAAGACAGTTTTACCAAGAGGATGGAACTCAAAGATGACTATCAAAGATGCTCTCAAGGGAATTTGGACGTAAGTTGATATTTCGCGAGCGGTACACCAGGCCCTGGTAACTTTCACCGTTTATTTTTAGCTCCTAAGAGCAATATTATTCGGTTTTGTTTTAAATCCTCATCTTCAATATACCTTCAATCTCATTATTTCAGACATATGCAGAAAGCAAAGGGAGTCGGTCACCAGCCAAATGATGGAGTTATGTTCTGACTTACGCACCACAGGATAGAAAATTGGTTAATTAACCCAGACCTCCTTTAGGAACATCGAGGCATTTGAAGAGACATTCTCTTATAACCCTTGCTAGTTTTGGCCAGAGAGCCACTTGATGTTTCGGAGCCGATTGTCGTTTTGGACAATTTTCAATGCTAGTCCATTTTTGATGATAATGATGATTTATTTTTAATCAAAATTTAAGAATGGGACCATGGGAAGCGAAATATGCACATTAAATCATAATGAATAGAGCTTGTTTTACTGGAAATCTATTTTGTTTCAGACATTAAAATGAAATGTTAGGGTATTTGGACGCTCGAGCATATTTATTTTTACAGGAGAATTCACACAACGTAGCTTTTATGGCGAACTCAATCTATTGTCGTGATAATTTTGTTATGGAAACAATCAGAGGACCTTTTCTATGATTTGATCGAGAATGTCATCCCATTGGAATTTGGATTGCCATCCTCACTTGATTTATGAGAACATTGTATTTGTTTGAAATGTGAAATGTGGCGGCTATTTTTAAGCTAATTTGGGCAAATTTTAAAAGCATCCCTGGGAATTTGCATGGCAAGGTTCCAAACGCTTGAAGAATCACTTAAGTTATCTTTTAGTATATTACGATTAATAAAATATTGAAACTGTTAACTAAACAGAATGCCCTCCTGAAAACGAGTAAAGATTGTGTACCGTTAACTGTAATTGTAAATAATGTTTGCTTAAACTTCTAATTTTGTGTTGTCAATTTCTCCCATACTTGTGTTTAACTGCTGCTTGTTTAGACTTGAATTCAAAATATCATTTATCCAAACCGAATTAGAGTGTAGAGAAAAGAATGAATGTTTTATTGACTGTGGTCCCGGTAAATTAAGCTCAACTGAAGTTATTAAAATCCTGATAGTGGCAAATACTTTAGGACTGGAAGTTGGAACCTGAAAGTGCCACAAACCCGATCACCTTTTCTATTGAAATATGTGGCACCCGATAGTAAAAAGGCCAAAGGGATATTTTACTGCATCGGCTGTGAACTTTGGTGACACGTTCATGAAAAAGGTTAGGGGTCGTTCACATAGTACGTAATCACTGAAAGGAGGGTTCTAAATGATCACGCTAGTATTATATTATGGTATAATTGAAACACAATAGCTATGTGTAAAACTGATAATACTAAGGGATGAGGAATTGATCCGGAAGCGATAATTATTGATTAGTCTATGTAATAAGCGCCATGAGTTGGCACAGAATGTTTTGTCTCTGATTTTGGTACCAAAAGCTGCCTCTGAGTGTGAATGATGCCAATTCACCGTGTAGCACGATACCGTCGAGCTGTATTGTGTATGTGTGCCTCCTTTAACGGGTGATACTCGTAAAATATCTGTTCTATATATTGGACCGTCGACGAGTCCAACTCGGCGCGTGTCCTGGTAGGTTGTAAACCTACAATGCCTCCTGTGCTATGCGTTTCAAGAGTGTAAAAAGGACGAAAACGTGTAGGTTTTTAACCTACCGAGACGCGCGCCGAGTTGGACTCGTCTTATTTGAAACAAATATTTTACGAGTATCACCCGTTAACATTAGCATGTATATAGTAGCTAATACATTGGTCGAAGTTGATAATTTACCCGGTGGGTACGTATTGTAGGTTTATAACCAGTACCAAGTATCAAGACACGCGCCGAGTTGGACTTGTCTATGGTCTTGTCTCGAGCGTACTAAATCACTCTACAGTCGATCTTCGAGATAGTTCTAAAAGGGCCCCCGACAGTTGAAATCAACTTCAATCGATGTATTTTCGGACGCTGATTCCGAATCACCCCCCATGACATAGGGTTAAAATGCTCCCCTGACGATATATAGGCGAAAAACTGTCTCGATCACGTGATATGACCGTATAAGGAAGTTAGCCTAATTTCTCGTTAGGGTTAGGGTTTCAGCATATGCTTTTGTTAAAGATTGGGTTAGGGTTAGGGTTGGGATCAGATAAGAGGGTTAGGGTTCGAATAGTCGTTCAGGACCAGCTAGAGAACGGGTTGAAAAAGTCACGTGACAGTCGAGTGTAGAGTGATTAATTATCATCCGTCTTGTCTAATATATTTGGAACAAATATTTTAAGAGTATCACCCGTTTTATAACTTTAAAGGTGGTTTTTTTTTTTGCTTTTTATTTCCACCGCGCACTTTAACCTGTATGGACCTCAGGCTATCATGTTCATGAACATTATATATATAGAGATTTGGCGGAATGACAGGCTGATACTCGTAAAATATTTGTTCCAAATATTATATTATCAATTATATTAGGAACAAGGAAGCGCCTTCGGTTTGAAATCTTAAGAACAACAGTGATTTCTTTGTCAATATAGACAGTTTAGATTTGAACTTGGAGCCGCAAGGCCAAGGGTGATTTTCAAAGCTTTGAGTTGTTGAAGGGTTTAGTTTTTTCCTTTTATATAGGGTCATTGTGACATTATGTGTATAACTTAATTGACGATGTCAATTCATGGCAGCTCGGCGCGGCACAGTAGCGCATCTCGCCGATCTAGTAACGCATCGCGCTACACGTGTATAACTATACTGTTTGTATTTTATTATATTATTTGATTTAAATTACATTAGACAAGACTGTACCGTGGTTTTGAAAATTCGGATTCACCCGGACAGGGGGAGGTCTGAAAATCTGCGATTTTGGCGGACGTCTTAATAAGATGACCCCTTAATCTTATAAACATACAACGTGAACTGTAGTATTATTATAATGGGGCTGAATAACAATATCAAGCATACATGTTGAAATGTCCTAATCGGGATTATTGGATTCCCAAACGGTGCTCTATTATGTGCGAATGGCCTCCGCCGGGGTTGAGTATGTCAAAAATGTTGTAAGTTGTCGCTGTATTTTTTGTTTTCGCCTAAAAAAAGAATATTTTCATCTTTTTTACTATCTATAATACTTCCATCACATAAATGTTAACAGTTAAACGACCCACATGTACTTAAATCTTGCAGATTATGCAGAGATAGTTCCAGTTAGCAATGCGGCTACAAAACATGCTAACATATAATTTTTCACATGCCATGGGGCTCGATAAATCGATCCAGGGTGTCCGGCCGATCCACTTATATTATTAATTGGCATCCTAGCTTAGACCAACGCGCGTAAAAAGACGCGCGATTGTGATGCAACAGCTTTGTACTTTGCACGCCAGTGATGGAAACGATCTGCTAGTCGTAGAGCGTGAAATGCGTTTAAGACCCGCTTCTGGTAACTTACATGTTCCTAAATTAAATTTGACGAAATATAAACTCCATTGTTTTGTCATTAATTAACATCCCAAATCACAAAATTAACCAAAAATTGTCTCATTTACTGGTAACCTTGCTTTGGGAGCTTTAATCACTGAGTAAATGAATTTGGCTTCCGTAAACTACTCGCATATTTTCAATAGGGAACTAATGAATATCATGAGTAATGTCGCAAATAAAGTCAATATCCTACGACGAGGCTTTTATGATAAAATCATCGGGAAATTCCTGACCAATTGGTTCAACTAAAAATGTGTTGAATAACATAAGAAAATAAAAATGAGTTACATACACGTAAATTGGTTACACGTAAACTTAAAATATATATACTCCTACAATGCTCGCATAGCACAGGTTATTAAAATCGTTTTCAACACCATACAAAATAATTCTTATAATTGAGACGGAATTGTGACGTTCAATTTAAAACAAAAATCCTTGGAATGTGAAAATAGTGTGCCATCACCAGTTTCGTCGACTCTCTAGATTGTCGGAAAGAAAGTAATGAAATTCAGCCGTTTTTACGATTAAAAGAGTAGCCCGTACAGCGATGAACTACAAATAGTAAAGGAACTAAATTGATGCAAGTCATGCTTAGCAGCCTGTGGCTTTCACTCATCGCAATAATTCGACTGTAAAAAACACATTACTATTTTAATACAAAGTACAATTATTAATATATCGACAAAATCATACAAATTTAAGCCACCACGAAGTTGTTAACTTTTGTTCATTATGTCCTTGCCTACTTGGAAGCCATGGAGCTTATGCCAGTCAATTAGGGATTGGGTGATGGGCAGGTTCCTGCGCAGCGCTTTGAAGGTATTGTTGGACATGGAGTTGTAATTCTCGTTGATTGCCAGCTGATACTCTGTCTCCGATTTCTTGATGTACTCCACCAAGTTCGTGGCTCCCTCGTTGGGTGAGGAGAGCTGTATTGATTCCTCCACATTCTTGTTCGACAGAAGCTGGACATTTCCGTCCTCGTAATAGTGGACCTGAGCGCTCATCGTCCCCTCAACCTTAGCGTATCCTCCTGCAGTTGGGAACTTCACGTCCCACTTGCTCTTCCATTTGCCGTTCCAGAAGTTGTTGGGGTTGTATTTATGGTCTTCAATGCAAACGGTTATTGAGACCTGGTCATCCTCAACTTTGCCGTAAATAGCGGTCACGTGTGCTGGAAAAAACTCATCAAGGTATGGTTTGAGCGCAACCTGGATAGCTTCTCTCCACTTCTCAGCATCAGCATCTCTGTCTTCTTCTTGTATATCACTAGCTTCGTTCTTTAAGTAGTTGTAAGTGAACGACTTGCTAGAATTAGGATCGTAGAATCGTTTAGAGCCGTCCAAAGAACCATCTTTAGTTATCAGAGTGTCCTCTCCATCAACCTTGACGGTGGTGAACTGATCAGTGGCGTACTCGTAGAACACACTGGATGCTCGAGTCAGCAGTTTGTCGTTAGCCAGCAGCACACGCACGTCATTCACCACCTCTTTAAACTCGCCAGGGGGTGCGGACTTGACGAAATCAGAGGCGATCCTTACACGCTCATCCTCAGAGATTTCCTCGAGACCAGACATGTTGAGCTGACTACTGGGACATTCTGAGATTGAGTAAAGGGTCAGACAAGTCGTGCAAACACTAAACAGTGAAAATTAAAGAAGGATGTTTAGAATAGTCTTAGTACTCATTAAAATTCAGTACTTTCAAAGTAGTGTTGTTGCAATAAATTTCGATATGAATTTGTGAAAATTTCAGCATGTAGAAATTTGTTTTTAATACTTTCAACCGTCAAGTGATACACAAATTCTGAAACGGTTTAACTCTTGCTAAACATGATTTCAATATCAATTGTTCAATATTACAAACAAGCATAAATTAAATTTTAAATTTATAAGAGAAACCGCTTCAGCTCTAAAAAGCTGCCTCACAAATTATAATTTAACACACGGAAAAGGTAATTAGCGTTACATCACCCAACCCCCAACACATATAATATAGAAAAATTTATTTGATCTGTACACATGAGACATAAATTACCATCAAATGAAGTGTAACACATTGACGACTGTTCTAGACCAGCTAGAAAAGTCCAAATAAAGACGAACACGTGACATGATGTGATATTCAACACAAGTCCTCTTCATCATCCTCCTCAAATGGGTTATTGTTATCAGCCTCTACGATTGGATTAGAGTCCGATGTTTGGTCCGGTGATTCACCCTGATTATCTCCAGAAGGGTTAGCGCCGTCTTCTCCGAATGGATTAGAATTGTCCCCTAAATTGCTGGCGACAGGAGCTGACTGGTACACAGGTGTTGCTGGTTGAGTGACTGGTGCTGGACGACTAAACAACTCGCTCTTCTCGCTATCTCCTGACGGTTTAGTCCTGGCAAACAGCTCGTCTCTGTTTGTTCTGTTTGGTCGAGCAAACAGTTCCTCTTTCTGAGAATTTGATTTCTTTCCAGCTGATTGGAAGATAGAAGATGTGGTGGTTGTGTTTGAAGGTTTAGATCGCTGAGAAGAAGGCACATTGACAGCTCCATCCTGAGTTAAAAACTTGGCTATTTTAGCTATTTCAGTGTCTAAATATACAATGTCTCCGTGAGACTTCAGTTTATTTATCGTCTCATCGTCCCCATTTTCAACTGCATCAATAAGCTGATCAGCCACGAGGGATACATCCCCGGATATAGACTGTTTAGCAGCCACTGAATCCCCCCTCGCTAAATGTAATATAACAAGACTCATGTTACATTTCTCTATGTGCTCGTACGATTCTAGCTGCTCGTACAGCTCGCGAGTGTATTGCACAGCACTGATACATTCCTTGTACATTTTGGTGCGAGCGAATATTTTCTTAGCACCCGAGTAACATTTGATAGCCTCCCGGGTGTGATCGTTATCTTTTTCTAACTCTCCAGCCCTGAGATAAAGTGCAGCTGCTTGCTCAGGAAGTTTGAGATCAAGTGCCTCAGCACCCTTAACATAGCAAGTTATTGCCGTGGAAGCAGTCCCGTTCTGGGTATAGAAGTCGCCTGCACGCTCAATGTGCTGGTGTGCTTCATCAAAACGACCTAACTCCTTCGAACAACTACCAGCTGCTTCGTGGCACTTGCCAGCACTAAACAGCACCCGCGCTCTATCGTAATATGTTGCTGCTTCAATGTAACATGATCTACTTTCAGCCCAAGATTTACCAAGCTTGAAAAACTGGCCCGCCTTTTCGTAGTGGTGAGCGGCTGTGTCGTTGTCTGCTTTCCAGTTTCCGAAAAAAGATGTTTTGAGAGCTCCTTCAGCGAGTTTCTTTTCTTTAAGTGCTTCACTTACATGCTTCTGTTCCATTGACAACCTGAGATATGTCCATATTAGTACAAAACGTGGCGCACTGGCTAAACTTGTCATTGAGTAGATCGGTAGTCCGAAAGCGATAGAAGCATAGCTCTTCCTCGGGATTAAATTTCTAGAATACACCAGACTCTTAGGCTTTACCGTAAAAGGAGTGGATTTATGACGAGGCAAAGAGTGACCACATATTATTTGTGTAAAATTCAAATATACGGCGGAAATTAAACACAAATTTGATCAATCTATTACAGATGGTCATTTCATAACAAGGAGTGCAAACATCCAATAGAATATTTAAAATTCGTCAGTTTACTCGGATGTAAGAATAAAGGCACAATACCTAATTAAAGCTTAAGTCAAATTTAAACACTTATTTAACAAAATATAACCAGGATTTATCTGAAAATTGACGTTCCCCCATAATAAATTATCAAAATCTAAAACTAAACCACAAAAGTTAGCTGACACTGAGTTTCTCCACCCCAGTCTCCAGCTCCTCCTCCTCCCCACTGCTCACATATTCCTCACTCTCACTCGTCTCACATCTCTCTGCCTTAACCCCTCCAAAACTAAACCCACCACCACCACCAAAGTCGTGGTTCTGATAAAAACCACCGCCGTCATCCTCAGTATCATACACCTGACCCTGACGTCCAAACTCGTACTTCCGTGCAGACATACTCAGGTCTTTCGTCTCCCGTAATTCAAACTGACATTTTGGACATTTCGTAGCAACGTTCCTCTCGGCCTTAGCACCTTTCCGTCTGACATGATCGTCACAAAAGCAGATTTTGCACCTAAGACAAGAGAACTGTCCGACTTTATTGCAGCTGCCACACTTGTAATTCTCGCTATCAAGAACCTGGCACGATGCCTGGTGTTCCATCTGATCGTCCTCGCAGATATGATACCGACAATAACTGCAAATAAACAACCTGCCACCATGTTCCCACAGCGTCCGTTTACACTCATAACACTGGCTATCAATACAGGGACAGGCACACCCATGTGACTCTAAACACTTCTTACCATGACATATCCACGCCTCACAGTGATCACATATTGCCCCCACCATCTCCATGCCAACTGTAAACTTATTTGGGTGTTTGACGATACAGTCACCCGATTTCTGTTGACATTTAGTTTTCCCGCAATGGCCGCACATAGGCAGCTTCTGTGATGAATCACAGAAGTAACAAAACGCCCTGTTTTTCTGCAGTCTCTGGCACTTGTCGCATGTCATGAGTGCGTTGCACGGAAAGTCGATCAAACTCCGTCCCTCGATCCCTCCCGACTGGATGGCCCGCTGTCGTTCCCTCATTTTATCAGCTTTCTTGCGTGCACCGGTCTTCTTCTTGGGCATGACTTAACCTGGCAATATATGGGCACTATTTGCTACCTATCAAACGCTATGGGCTGCCAACATGCCCTGGGTATATTTCATGCCCAAATATGGTAACAATTCAGCTCAACACATTGTGACAGATATATCAGAGAGAGCAGGCTAAGATAGATTTACAAAAGGAGAACTAATGTTGTGCTAACTTGCAACTAGGATATCTAATAGACAGGTTCAGATGCTATTCCCCGGTTGGAGCTGATTGAATTATAAGTTCATGGTACTACGCAGTACATGAGCTAACTAAATTATATAGACCAATACACGCCACATATCTTACAGTTTATACACGTGATGTGAGCAGAACTAATATGTGATGGTACAACTTGTCGACAAACGTAGAATATATGGTCCGGAGAGTACGTGGTGGGCACTGGGCGTTTGTACGAGCTGTGTGGGGAGTGTGGTTGTGAGTGTGGTGGGGAGTGTTGTGGGGAGTGTGGTTGTGAGTGTGGTGGGGAGTGTGGTTGTGAGTGTGGTGGGGAGTGTGGTTGTGAGTGTGGTGGGGAGTGTGGTTGTGAGTGTGGTGGGAGTGTGGTTGTGAGTGTGGTGGGGAGTGTGGTTGTGAGTGTGGTGGGGAGTGTGGTTGTGAGTGTGGTGGGGAGTGTGGTTGTGAGTGTGGTGGGGAGTGTGGTTGTGAGTGTGGTGGGGAGTGTGGTTGTGAGTGTGGTTGTGAGTGTGCCCTCAAATTTACAGTGCTCCAAGCAGCTAGTTTAATTATAGAACACAGCGCCCGCCAGGGAGGTGAGTAATAATATGCAGTGTTTATACTCATAATATGTTTCATATCCTGTATTAAATACGATACCTACATATAAAGTGGTCCACATTTAAAAAAGCTATTAATCAAAACGATGGTGTGATGTGACAAAATACTGGTTATATTCCAACGGAAATAAAAGATAGTAAACACTACACACACACTACTAGACGATGACAACCATGCCACAAAAGAGAGAGAGTTAAACAGAGAAACCGTTGTCATAGTATGTTACAGCTGTGTATTATAAAGTACATGTAGAGAGAGAGGGGCGTAATGAACAAGGGAGAACCACACTGATAAGAGTGTAGTTATTGTCGAGGAGGGTTTCAGTCATTTATATAGTTATCATACCAGACATTCTATGAGAGCCGAGCAAGTTCTGCCTAAATCTAACATCCAAAATAGAATTAATGATGAGGAAGATGGAGCGTCATACTAAGTTCATGTTTATGCCCATGCTTATTTTCCGAATTCAACTCAGGTACCACTTCAAACAAACTTATTATGGCCCCCAAAACTTATTATTTGTTCGTTAACTAAGCCTGGAAGGTGTGGTGTAGTAGTGTGTAGTGTAGTGCACGTGCAAGCTATTTAATTAGGTTTAGGTAGACACGTACTGCTTAAGGCCACAGGGGGGGGTCCGAGGTCGATTTTGAGATTTTGAGATATGTTGTAGAGCTCGATCTAAATTTTCAAATGCTTTTGTCCTTACCGAAAACAAAGTTTCCTATTTGAAGATATCGCGCGTTGAATTTTGAGGTTTACCTGTAATTCTATTGTAAATGAAAATTTTAAATGAAATCGTGTTCAAAATCTATCTTCTTTTTCAGTTTATGACTTAGAACCTTGTAACTTGGCAACAATGTTCTTCAAGGTATTTTGAGTTTTTGTTATGTAACGATTTATGATATCTTGCTCCAAAGCTGAGATATGAGGTTAACCATGAGTGCGGGTTACAAAATTTAAAATGGTTAACCTCATAAAAAGAGTTAGGAGCAAAATTACAACAATCGTTACATAACAAACTTTTAAATTTATGTCAGGAACATAAGTTCCAAATTTGAGGTGAAATGGATAAAAACTCTAGGAGAAGATAGATTTTGAAGTCAAAAATTCGAGGTTTTCAGGAGAGGCAAAAAACTGTTTTTTATGTTATGTGATTTTTGAGAATTTTGCCTTTATTTGTATATTTTTCAAAGTTTAACTGCTGAAATAACACAAAAACAATAAAAACAAAGCTTATCGTAGTTTTCAGTTGTAATGGCATCAATATTTCTGCCCTCCATTATCGATTTATCAAAAAAATGAGGTTAAATGAGAATTGGTTAACCTCATTTATAAAAAAAAGTAAAATAGCTACAGACAAATGAGTGGTGGCAAAGTATCCACCACAAAAATATATATTGATTCAAAGCATAATGTTTTTTTGCATTTTTTGAGGCCTCGACCCCCCCCTGTGGCCTTAAAGTCGTTAATTTCTCTATTTTTACCGCAAATTGTATTGCTGCCTGACTTGCCTCTCTTGACAATTCTTTACTGTAATGTGACTGGAGGAATTACAGCCACCTAAAAGATAACATCTCAGTGGTATGGTCACGTGGTTAAGGGGGCAGGGGGGGTCTTTATGAAATTTCTCTCGAAATTGATTTTATAGTTGTTTCTGATAGAGGGGAGTGATATCTATCCGCTGCTTTTGGTCCCATGGAAAAATATTGTTCCTAGCCGAATTTATTGCCGGTCAAAGGTCAGCGTTCATGTGTAATTGTATTGCGCGAGCGATTTTCAATCGCGCGCCCTGAAAATCGAGTCTAAAATTCTATCTTCTCCTACATTTTTTGAGCAATCACCTTGAAACTTTCAGGATATGTTCTAAGGACCATTTAGAAGATTCCATTCAATCAGAATTTTAAGATAGGCCTTAGAAAATTTTTTATTCGATTTTGAAAATCTTGGGCCTGGAAAAATCGTCAAAAAACGAGGTCCAAGATTTTCAAAATCGAATAAAAAATTTTCTAAGGCCTATCTTAAAATTCTGATCGAATGGAATCTTCTAAATGGTCCTTAGAACATATCCTGAAAGTTTCAAGGTGATTGCTCAAAAAATGTAGGAGAAGATAGTATTTTAGACTCGATTTTCAGGGCGCGCGATTGAAAATCGCTCGCGCAATACAATTACACATGAACGCTGACCTTTGACCGGCAATAAATTCGGCTAGGAACAATATTTTTCCATGGGACCAAAAGCAGCAGATAGATATCACTCCCCTCTATCAGAAACAACTATAAAATCAATTTCGAGAGAAATTTCATAAAGACCCCCCCTGCCCCTTAAGTGAGTTTGTGTAACGTGTATTCTGAAGGGATCATAGTCTTATGATGAGAATAGAAGATTAGATAATCAATATCCTCAAATAACTTCACTAGATCGGGTGTATTATACTAATACTGCTGAGTCCGATTGTCGACTACCTCCCAAAATAGGTTTATGTTTAGAATGTACATATTTACATCAGCAAATGGAATGTTCACAGCTACTACCGTTAAATTCTTTCATAGTACAGCTAGTATAATGCAATATGAATAATGAATATTACACATTGACATTGTCATCACTGGTAACATATTGTAATGTGAACATTGTGCGTGTGTATTTTACAGTCTAGGAAGTGGAATAGTGCGAACATAAACATCACAGCAACTAGCAAGTGGTGACAAAACAATGGCAGCGGCTGGCAGTGATTTAATCATAGGTATAGTATTGTCATCATTAACAGAATTAATTCAAAACACATCAGTAATTTTTATGAAAAATTTAAAGTCAAGAAGGACACCAGATTCGGTTCATGTAGACACGGAATCCAATAATACGACGAATTTATAAAAGTGCATTTCAATTGTCAGTAATATACATAATATCATCATATTATCACTATTCACATCAACTGGGCCACTCACAATAACCTTTGACTCACTTTTAAACAACCCGTACAACAGCCTTCAAACTTTGATTCTCTAACGTAAACAAACTTTCTCCGGACATTTTCTAACTTCCCTCTAAAACTACATCATTATATAGACGTGTTGAAATCTTTGTGGTAGGCTTTGTCTCATCTATTAGAAAGCTTCTCAAAATGTTAAATCACTGAAGCTGAGGTAAAACCGAGAAAATTACCCAAAATTACTCGGAATTACACATTTCCCCAGCAGCTTAGCAGCCTTGAATTATGAAAAAAACGGATTTAGTCACCCCTATAAACGTGATTAACTTACTTAAACAGCAAACTGTTATTATAACCAATGTTACTACGCGAGTCGAGTAAGCAATAGTAAGTGATTTAAAGTAATAATTTAGATTACACGTGTGTTTAAGATGAAGTAAGAAACATTTTCAACAAAAAAATCATTCATTTGATTATTTCTACAAATATACGTTATCATCATATGAAAACCACAAGAGTCTTATTCTCAGCGTTCTCCAATCTAAATTCCATCACAAAATTGATAATGCCAATTTGAAAATCAATTGCCAGACAGGGGTCATATTATTATCACGTGTGCACAGGAATCAATATTCAAAAATTGGAATGTTTGACACAGGAAATAATTATAATATATAATTAGGACAGATTAAACATGGTCGTCTTCAGAGCCTGTTCAGTTTCACATAAAATAATATTCACTAAAAACATTAACAAATTGAAAATAGTAAACAATGCATAATATATTATTAATATACTTCACTAAAGAAAACAAATTGATAAAAATCTTACAAACATAGCTAAAAATTGTGGGCAAAGACACGGCTTTGTGAGAGTACCTGTATGACTATCAAAACGTAGCATTCATGTACTTCCAAATAAACCTAATACTAATTATAGTACTAATTAGTAATTAGTACTAATTAGTTATTAGTACTAATTATAGTACTAATTAGTAATTAGTACTAATTGCTATTGTGCACAAAACAAGCAGTTTACTCCTAAGCTACGTGGCTGACACTAAAACAGCCCTATTTCTACTGAGACTTATCTACACACTTAACATTTTTGTTTCTCTAGTGACACGATATGAACACAGAATTCTGTACTTTACGGCTAAACAACCTCAACTACACTTAACTGCAAAAGGTGAGCTGGCTTATAATTTCTGAATTATGTAACAACATAACAATGATTATGGAAATTTGAAGCAATTGCAATATCACGTGCTACACCAGTAAATTATGCAAGGAAACTTTTATGCTAAGCGATTCCTCATTATATAAAATATATCCAAAAATTTGTGATTCATCGCACTTAGTCATCCTCTCAAAATCATATATTAAGGTATATTATTGTATTTATGGCGGAATTACATAGTATCAACAACTAGTCAAGCGAGAAACTTTCGGGGGAACAAGTTATACCTTAGAAAATGAAACCCAGCAGTAATCATAACTATCTAACATTAAGTCAATCTGGGACACCCAAATTGGATCTAAGTATAAAGTTTTACCCTCAATTAATATTTGCAATATAATATCAAATGTTCGATACATTGCGTTCCTTTAAAAAGTTCATCGGAACAAGGCCTCGGTGTCCCCGACAGGAGCCCGTACACCAACCATCTTCTTCTGCATCCTCCAGATTGGTTACAATATCACCAGCTGCGAAGGAAAGCTCGTCTGAATTTTCAGCATCACAGTCGTACAAAGCTTCTGCAGTCCGACCCAGCCCCAAATTGCTTCTTGTCAGAGTCTTGGCAGGTTTTTGGGGAGGAGTTGAAGGCTGGTAAGATTTGTCAGGAGGCCATCTGTTGAGCACTGGAGATGGATTAGCCATTCGCTGTGAGGACGTTGTATTGCCGTATATAGAATTTCTGGGACTATTAGCATACAGGTGCGGAGAGGAGTGGCTACTGATGTTTTTGTATCTGTTAAACTCTGGACTAGGAGACTCTTCATCAGACGAGCCGAATGGATTTTGAGTACGGTCTGTTTCCACTGTGGACAACTGACTGGGAGGTCGAGGTGCGATCTTATCCTTTTTGGGGCGGCGATGCAACCTGCTAGAGTTACGGGAATTAACAAGTGTTTGGTACTTCTCGTTCATCTTTCCACCTTCAAAGATGGCATCATACTCGATTATCAAGTTTTCTATGAGAATGTTCTGATGCTTTATATTAAAAATACTAGCAACAGTTTCTTCCTTAGGTCTCATCAAAGTGGGCCCGAACACGACTCCCAAATTACTTTCTTGCATCAGATTTTCGTCTTTAAAAGCAGCTACGTCGTAGAGATGTTTGATTAGTAGTTTCAGACACTCATAGTTCATCTTGGGGAGCCGAGTCACAACATTCGAGAGGTTTGTGATTTTTTGTTCTCGATTTTCTGTTTTCATTGCCTCAAGAAAGTCTGCGTGGAGGCTGAAGGTCAACAGAGGTTCGGGAAGGATTTCACGGAAGTAATATTTCAGAGCAGATGCAATGACTTTAACGTCGTCCGTTTCCAACACAGCATCTACATTCTTGTCCTCAAAAGTGTTTGCGATAAGTTTTGTCATCTTTGTTTGAGCCCCGCTTACACGATATATACCCTGCTCGTTGAGCCCCAGAGCTGTCAGCCTATCAATACACTTGATGACAAAGTCCATTCCAACTTCGTGAGGAACTCTTAACTTGGCAGCTTGCATTGGCTCAGCGAACGTTGCTTCTTTGCCCTCCATTATTTCCATCCAATTCTTCAAATCCTCTTCCGATAGAGACTGAAGTACCCAAACTTTTCCATCAGCTGAAGTCACTTCAAAGCAGAATCTTCTTGGAATATCATCGGTACGTTTCTTCACAACATTAGTAACATTGATCTGGTCTGTGTTCCCCACTCGTCCTTGTGGTTGATTATACGTTCTCAAGGTCAAAGTCTTGTGCTTCCGTGAATACTCACAGAAGTACTTGAGCCAAGAGTGACCAAAACCAACAGCAAGTTTCTCTTTAGAGTACAAGTAACCCTGTCTTGTGTCAGGAGATGACGAAGTGCTTCCAGTAGTCAGCTTTTTAGATACTCTTTCTTTTAACTTGTCAGCTTCTTCTTTCTCATGGTCGAAGGTATCCCTTAGATTCTGCAGCCGCAGGGAGAGGTCTTGTGAATAAGATTCAAACTCGTTAAAAGCCTCGTAACCAGTGTGATAGAAGGTTTTCCATGCAAACATGATCTGCAGTAGTGCCTCACAAACTTCTATTCTCTTCAGTTCTTGAACTTCATGCAATGAATCAACATAGTATAAAGAGTTCTTAAACAAATTCTCTCTTTCTTCTTTGCAATTGATATCAAGATCATCAATTCCTTTAGTGTTTTTCTTTGCACCCAGCGACTTCTCTAAACTGGCACAAGATTTTTCAGTCTGGCTATGAAACTTTCGTTTGGCCTCTTTACACCTCCCAATATCGTTTTTCCTAAATCGATCCAGGCGTTTCATTGCACAGTTGTTCTTTATACTTATGAACCTATCCCTTTGGTCTTCTATTTCGTCCATAACTTCCCCAAACTTTCGGAAAGCATTCTCTGTTTCTATGTCATCTTCCGTTTGAGAACCGATTGGTTTAAAAGAAATGTTGCTTATAGTATTCGAAAACTGTTTGTGGCATTTGGAAAGTTCCTCCTCAATCTGCAACAGCTTTTTCATTTCATTTTGAAGTTGCTTTAAGACGCCAGAACAACTTTCGATTTCTTTCTCATGACTTTTCAAATTTTCTCTAAACGCTGGGCTGTCAGTCAAACAATCTTCAAACTCGAGAGGTTGTAGGCATTGCTGACTGGGCCGCAGCTCACCGGACCCGGACATTTCATCAGCCTGGGATATTGACATTATTAGTATATAATATTATCACGTTGATACATGACAAAGATCTGAATAACAAATGTGATTAAATTTAAAGAAGTTAGTATTTGTACAAATTCTGCTGTTAATTAATTAATTAGAAGTCTGGATTTAAAATTAGTCAGCAGTAAAACAGCAGTGCATGATTTAACAAAAGTTGTTTAAAAACAAATGTATTATATTGACAGGTAAGGTAGGTACCAAGTAGTGCTTGTACCGACGCTTAAAACTGTCTCTGCCTTAAAGGGTCCAGAATTTTGTAAGTTTTACTCGTGAAAAATGTTCAGATAGTTTGAAAATGATTATTCTCGAGGATCGAATAAGGCAGAGATAATAACCGAGAGTAAAACTGGATTTGTAAAAGATCAGCATAATTTGACTAGCAGTGAATTAAACCTCCAAAATAAATACATTGCTGTAATCTTCGACCCATCATTTACAATAGAACAGACGAATATAACATATTTACACTATACTGTCGAAAGTAGCGAATTGCCAATAGATTTCTGATCAAATAATGAAAGATTAAATACCACTTAATTAAATTACTATTTTAAACGTAGCTATCCTTTAAATAAACAGTATGAGACCACGTGAGAGTCAACACAGCTGGCACAGTGCCAAAAATATACCACGTAGAAAGTCAGTAGACACAAGAGCTGATGAAAAACACAGAGATCAAAAGGATCTTTCATTAGGACAGACAATATTTTGAAATCTTCTCATTAATGAAATTTGCCATGCCTTAGACAGGGCGGGGGTTCGATCCTATAAAAGGAAAATTTGAAGACACAACCACAAAAATATCCCATAAATCAATAATTTGCATGTATAAATGATATAGAGTACTCCAAAATTACAGAAATATATTTCGCCCACGCCTTTCAGCCCAGTGGTTGAAAGGTATTACATATCAACAAATTCACATTACATTTCATAATATCACTGTAAGGTCTAGCGCCTTATTTTTGAACTGGCGATCTTCTTAGGTTTTTTGGTACCCCCCAATAGAGAGGTCAACATGTCACTCATATCTGGCATCTGAGGATTTGACATCATCTTAGAAGCATCCTCCAATTCTTTCTTAGTTTCAGGATCTTGCATGTCTTTAATTTTGGGGAGTACAAGCATGAAGAATACAGGTAGCAACAGCATGGGCACCATTGGGCTCGAGAAAACGTCAGTTATGTGCCACGTTTCACGTTTTTCAAAGAAATTAGTCCTATCAGCAACTCGGAAAGTAAGAGGATATTTAACTAACATGACCTCATTCGGTTGTACATAGTCCACTTTACGAGCTCTTATTCTTCCACTAGCTTTGCTACTGATTTCAACTCTGACTGGAGCAATTATGTAGTTTGGGTTTAATACTTCCACGATGTAACTCCCTGAAAAGTTGTATTATCAGTCTGGCTTTAAATTAATAAATCGTTGTATAATAACGTCTTAATCTTTAATTCTAGAAACGGTGAGATTCCATTCAAAGTCTTGATATTTCATGACACACAATGTGACTGGTCATGTGGTCGAGGTCTAACCAAACGGTACCAAGTGAGTAGGTCATCTACATCACATGATCTCAGAGCCTTTGCTACGAAATATCACATATATTAAGATTTATTACAGGGTTCAGCAAAAAGTGTCATGCATCACGATATAAACAGTTCTAAGATGTGTGCTAGACAACATGTCAAGTGAAAGTTAATAGGAAATAGGTTTATTTAGCCAATCTCAATGTGATACTCTAAAAGAATTATTTGCAAACAATATAATTAAACATCATTTATCTTACATCATCAGAAATTTTACAACATTTAGGTGACACATAGATCTTAACAAGCAGCAGTAAGCATGAGCGGTATACAATTATTTTCTCATATGACTTAGCCTATAAGTATAACATCTTCAATTTAAGTCTATACAGTAACATTTTTGATTATTTTAGTATGGATGCGGTAAAATAAGTAAAACACAATTGTTTTCAGTATAAAAGGCAGTTTGCCGAGTATTGATGGCCACAGAGATGGAGAAGGCAATCTAAGTCAGATCTGTTCCCATGACAACCCATCAAATAGACCCCAACTTGACCACTGCACTATAACACAACAGTTCATGAAGATAATGGCAAAGGAAAAGTGCATTGCCATCTGATCTCTAAATACAATTTTCATGATACAAGACCAGACACAATGTGACATACAAAACAAATGGACAAATTGTGTGTGTCACAAAATGGATAGTCCCAACACATGTGCTGATGCAAACAAGAATTAAAAAGTAAGAAAGAAAGTACCTGGTTTGACATTTGGAATAACAAAAGAACCATTCTGCTGAGCGTATCCATGGTATTCACCAAAGTTAGCAGAAATCAGAGTTCTTGTTTGCCATCCTGGATCATTGCTGATTGCTATCTGACCTCTGATGTCATAAGCTGATTCACTAGCTAAGATAACATCATACCATATCGCGATGAATCCAAAGAGAACGCTCCAAAACATAGCTATCTGAGGATAAGGAATTCCTTAGAAATTATCTACAGTTAACTGAATAATTTGTATACTTAAGGGATATCCCAACTCTAGAAACTGTGCATAGAAACTCTCCATGAAGGCAGTCCATAATAAATAATATACCCATTAAAAGTATTATTAAATAAAAGAGCTATTACTAGGCTGATTTACATTTTTTTTGAATATCTCATTCAAAACACAAACGAAACATTAATTGTTTCAAGGAATCAGGCTGCTAAAATCCCCAAATGGGTGGGAGTTGCAAGCTGAGAGTGAGTTCAGATGAGTGAACAAGTAATGGACACTGAGCTATATTTCTGAACCTAGGCTTTTTAAGTGTTGCCAACCTACACATACATGTTTTACGATTGAAATTGGGCCATATAATACATTTAAGAATTTAGAGTTAACTACTTCTGACTTGTGTAATCCTTTAGTTCTTCAAAGCATAAAATCTCAACTTAATTGTTTTTACTCCCTAGACTGGGAGACATTCTTTATAGCATATTATTATTATTATAAAACAGGATCTTACCGACAAAAATGATTCTTAAAAATACCTTAATGCGGTAAACTGTACCCTTGAAAAAGATTTTCCCAACATCTGTTGCATGCAGCTATATCTCTAATTTCATTCAATTCATGAGAGTTGTCCATTTGCAAATTTCTACTACTTAAATCACTTCTTAAAACCGATAACAAGTTCATTCTAGGTCTCCCCAATCTTCCAATAAATAAATTATCTGATTCAATAGCAAAAGAGAGAGCCGTTTGGGCTGGGGTGTTCTCCATACTCCTGAGAATGTGTCCAAACATCTTCCACCGCTGGTGTTCGATACGCTTTGATAACTTTTCAACTTTGCACCTTTCATACAATGCTTTGTTGCTTATCATACCTTTAGGCCATTTGATGTTTAAAATGGACCTGAGGTGTCTACGATGAAGTGTGTCCATTTTCTCCATGGTTGCTTTTTTAGGACTCCAACTATTTGAGTTGTAAATTAATACAGATACAACTTGAGCGTCATATAACCTCAGCTTTCTTTCAAGGGAAATTTTCTTACCGGACAACCAAACTTTTTCGAAGTTCTTAAAAGCAATTTCAGCTAGGATTCTCCTTCTTTGAATGTCCTTCTCAGTACACAGTAAGGAACCTAGTGACTTATTACTTCGCCATGGTTCATTATTAGCTAATGGCTGACCGTTAGTTTTTGATTGAAATAAATTTTCGTGCACATACAGAATGAATGGTTAATAATTTAATATATATGTAGACCAAGCTCTGTGCACGGGATGCTTCCTGGAAGAATCCAGTTCTTTTAGCGGGGCACCCTACCTAAAGCCAAATTGAGATATAATAATCATATTCCTAGAGAAATAATCAGAAATCGAATACCAATCAAATAATATGATATATATGAGTAGTAACCATATTTACTATGCAAAATGCCCCAACCACATAGTGTAAATTTATATAGAATTCAAATTCCATATCATCATTAAACCTCAATACCTAGTCAATATAATAGCCCAAGCAAAATTAAATAACTTCTTATATACCTTACTGTCATACTACAAATTAATTAAACATTTGAAATCTGTTGACCAGAGAATAAATTTCTAAGCCTAATGCAAGTGAAATAAGTGTTAGTGTCTTTATCAGATTTTTTCGCCAGGTAGAAGGTACTGAATTCAGTTTTACTTTCATTTACTTGGAGGTTCCAGTCTTTGAGAATCTCTTTCACTGCAGGAAGGAAAATTCTCAGTTTCTCGATGTCCTCGTCAGCAAAGTCACAATCGTCTGAATATTCCCACTCAGTTGGAAAACCTAGTTCTGATACTGGTGGGTTTGGTCTCCCAGATACAGCTCTGAGGTGGTGTAAGGCTGCTGCAAGAATAAGTGTGAATAGCTTTCCAGATAAACTGTCACCTTGAAAGGCTCCGAGTAAACTTTCAAACTCTTCCGACAGTGAGGAGTTAACACGAACTCTAAGGAGAGTATTCGATAGAAGGTATTGAACTAAGCGAATGTCGTCCTCCGAACAACCAGCATCTTTCAAAACATTTATGATAGTATCCCTTTTCACGGTATCAAAAGCTCTACTCATATCAATACCCATTTTGCTAAATGTCCATTTCTTCCTCATCACAACAGATATGAGCATTCTCTGAGCCCACACAATGTCAGAGCAGCTCCTACCTCTCTTGTAAGCACTCTGCCATGGCATGGTGTAGTTGTCAATTCTACTCTCAACCCGTTTTAAGGCAATTTGAGTGAGCATCTTCCTCGATCCGTTTAACAGTGTAAGTGGTCTAAGGCTTGTGAGGGGACCTTTAGGTTTACCGGGCTTCTGCAGAGGAGTCACAATACCTTGTCCTATCGAACTAATGTATTTGTTCCCACTAAATGACTCGTTAATTGCCTCAGCATACTTCTCAAAAGTGATTGGATGGGCGTACTTTATCAACTCATTCTGGAGATTATCTGGACCACTGGCACGGTTTGATTTGAGTTTACTTGCAGCAAGTTCAACTTCAACTGGTGTAATGGGGTTATCAAGTGGTTTTGGATCGCAGGTAAAAGGTTGCAGGCCAGCTTCAACTCCTTCTGTTAGTTGTTTTTCGAAGAAAGATTTCGCTGTGTTTGCTTTCCCTAAATCGGTACCAATAGGATTGTTGTTGGTATCATTGACCACTATGTTACCCGACTTTTTTATACCAGCTAAATATCTTGAAGCTTCAAACATCTTTCTGGTGTCGTCAGTAAAAATAGTAAAAATAAAAAGTATTCTAACAATATACATATAATACCACAATGACCGTATATAAAATGAGACTTTCAAAAATTGGGCTTTTTATTCTCTTTCAAAAATATTCCAAATAATTTATTTAGGTGCATATATATATTTAAAATTGCTTCGAACAGTATACAGATAATTTCAGCAATGGTAATTGTCTAGCTATAAGGATAGACACCCTCGAAAAATGAATAAACCGATACAATCTTTATAAGGTGTCCATTGTGTTCAGCTATTAAAAACTTGATCACATTCTATCCTTTATTATCTGCAGTCTGAGCTCGATATAAATTGCAAGCATAACTTTTTCAATGCGAATGTGTGGCCACAAAAATTACTCATCCGGATTAGGTCTCTGAATAGTGGATACTTACTTGGAACTAAAGGGTAAGTGGATCTTAAGCTTTTTTAATTGTACATTAGTTATTGAGAAAACGAGAGGATAAACGAGAGGAGACAAATGAATCCAGAACCCTATAGCACGACACGTACACCGTGCATCAACGTATCGGCAAAAGAGATAAACTGCAGCAATGTGTCAAATGTATATATAGCGAGTTTACTAACAGGAATTAATTCAGGATTAAAAGGCTGATAAAATGCACTTTTTCTATACCATTAAAAGACAAAAAGTGCAGTGATTGCAAAACATTCCAATCTTTAAGCAGCACGTGACGCAAATCAGCCAATCAGAGGACAGGCGAATCTGCAAAGTTAAAGTTGCGAACTTTTATTCGGCCTAAAATCACACTTTTCTGGATAACTTAAAATCTAAGTTTTCCCAAATTAAATTGTGTTCCTTTGAAATGAAATGGAATAGCAACACAAGTGTCAGGTACTAACGATGTCAGAGCGGTTATAAATAGTAATAAAATGTTTCAAACAGTATACACATAATGTCACAATGACCCTATATAAAAATAACCCTTCAAAAACTCAATATTTTGAAAATCACCCTTGGCCTTGCGGCTCCAAGTTCAAATCTAAATTGTCTATATTGACAATGTTCTTTCTCGCCCCTCTGTCTTAAGTATTAACAAAAATTTCGCCGCGGTTAAACCACGCACGATTAATTTTCCCTACGATGTACCATTTTTTCTTCAATTCTTTTGAGTGAAAAGTGTGACTGGAAAAATAAAAGTGCAACATATTTATTATTTACATACTATGTTTTTTATGAATGAGTAGGATTAGTGTATGGAATTGTAGCGCGATGCGTTACTGTGCCGCGCCGCGCACTCAATGAGGCTTCTCACAGCAAGATGCGCTACTGTGCCGCGCCGAGCTGAAATGAATTGACATCGTCAATTAATGTATGGAAAAAATTGACGATTTATTTGACCATTGCAGCGCCGCGTATCAACAATAAATGAATCCAGTAATTTCAGAAAATAACTTTGCGAAGAAGGAATTTCACTGTAATTAATTAACACATGGTAAGGGTCGCGCGCAGCATAACAGACGCTTCCTATACACTTAATTATGGTGGAATGGTCTTTATTGCGAAGGAGCAGATGCAGACTTTTGTCCATTGTCATCATCGCAGGTCTTGACATACGTTGCATGCCACTTTTCGCGCGCGAAGCGCGCGCCGCCGAAGGGATACGAAACATGTATCAACGCAGGTCCATCGGGCAACCTCATATATCCAAACCCGATTACTTATTCCTTATGATTTTTTTGGGCTCTTACTAATTCGCTCGCCCAAAAATTTCACGTGACTTTGGTTTTTATGGTTTTGCAGCCGTACAAAACGGTTTTACATAAACCCTAATCCCAACCCTAACCCTAACCATAACCCCGAATTAAGCTAACCATAACCCTTACCACAACCCTAACCCTAACCCGAGCTAGCCCTAAACAATCGAATTCATGGTTTACTAGCCTGTCACGTGACCAAAACGGTTTTTTGCCCATAACTCTCCGTGGAAGCATTTTACCCTACGTCATGTGGGGTGATTCGGAATCAGCGTCCAAAAATACATCGAATTAGATCAATTTCACACCCAAAGGGCCTTTTCACAAGAATTTTCTTAAAATTTGGGCGAGCGATTTAGTAGGAGCGATCTTTTTGCCTTCGGCAAGAGCAGGGAAAAAATAGCCAATTCTTGATACATGTTACGTATCCACAATATCATAACCAAAAACACTATGTTTTGGGGTCGTGTTTGATTAACGATGTCAATCCTTCGCATCTCGCCGATC